AAACTATTAATAACACTTAAAAAAAATTAGCGTGCTACCAATTCAATAAAATACAGTTTAGTAAAAATACATATAGTGTTTGGGTTGAAATAATTAATTTAAAATTTATAAAAAAGTAGAAAAGGCACGTGTTTGTAAAAACCCATAGTTAATGGGCTAAGATGTATAAAGATTTTAAGGATATGTAACAAATATTTTTAAAACAAAATTTTATGTAGTCCGTGTGATTTTGTTGACCTAAAATTGTATTTAAATTAATTCCATCATCGACTCCACTCTGAGGACACTCTTTATGATACACTTACAAAGAGCACATTATAAGTCTTAAATTTTATTTTTAGGATTATCAAATAGAATGTTATTCGGTTAAAAAGCATTCGATTCAATTAAAATTTTTAATTTGATATTGAAATTATTAATAAAATAATGATATATTATCGTTTAACTACTGTTTTATTGAGCGCTACAGTTATATTGTTTACTATTAGCTTTAGTAATGCATTGTAAAATATTTAAAAACATTGATATTTTATTATAGCCCATTTTACTTATGCACCTTTCTTATTATAACACACTGATTATTCATTTTTATTATGCCATATAAATAGGTAGCACACATTTTTTTTTGTCTAAGAAAACAATTTTCAACACATTGAAACTGTCAATAACAAAACTATTAACAAAATGTGTGTCAAGAATTGTAATAATCATTTAGTTGTGGGAACAACTATTAGGTTATGCTTTGGACCTTTATAATTAATAATGTGTTTTATGTGCCATTAAAATTACACATGAGTTTACCTGCGCGTGTAATACTTCAATATGAAACATTTGCGAATAATGGGAATCCCTAACTACTATAAGTAAACAAATTAACAATATATTGTTATATTAGTAATTTTATACGCGTCAATTAAAAACTTTTGGTGATTTATGAGTTAATTAACAAACGTAATATTTTTTTACATATTTTTAAGAATTTCCACTAATAATGAAAAATGATTCAGAATAAAATTCTCTTCTAAATATTGTGTACGACATTTTACTTCATTCACATAACTACAGTCAGTGATTTTTATAAAAATAAATCATTGGTGAATATCAGAAATATTAATTAAACATTCGTTTTAAATATAAATTTAATTTTACTATTATAAAACTAAACATTTTTTAATATTTGAAAATAAATATTAATTTTTGTAATAGAAAATGTTTAATTTATACAATAAATACAACATATAAGATTATGTGTGTACAAAACAACTTTTAATTTCATTTACAAATATGTGATAAATTATCATATTATAATTATTATTAGTTTTATGTAACTGTAATAGTGAAATAATATTTCAGCACTGAACTTAGACATGATTGATTTAATTATTAATTTTAACACTATGCTTTGAATAGGTTAACGAAATTAGTACATAGACATATTTTAAAATTCAGCTAATTTTCAATAACAATAACAATAATATTAATATAACGGAATGAAAGTAAACCTTCGTTTCATAATACTCAAACGGTATAAAGTATCATCACTTTACATTAGCTTACAATTGAAACCTTAAATCAGTAGTTACAGTTAGTTATATAAATGAATTCGGTATCATCATCAAACAATGGTTGCTTTGGGCTTTAATTTCGTGTGAAAACAGTTATTCGAGGGAAAATAACGTGAGGGTTGATCAAAGGATTAAAATAATACTTATTGAAAGTCTGTTCCCACAGTTTAATATTTTATTTTTATTAAATTTATATTGAAATAAGGGGTTAGTATTGTGTATTGCTTCTATCGATAAATTATAGATTGACACATAATTTACAATTTATCATACGTAGATACATAACAAACCAACATTTTGTAGCTCTGATTTTTGAATTAATATTTTAGTGTGATTTTAAAAATATTAATACAGTAAAACTTCTTTTATTTTACACGCTGCGAACAAACATTTTAACGTTTAAAAGAGGTTTCCGTCGAATAAACTGTCCGTTACATGGAGATTCACCGTAGAAAATATAAGTTCACAATTGGTGAAAACAAACTATGACATATTTTGTACATACATTCTGAAAAAATTTGTTTTCTTAAGTTTAACTTAAAAAAAAAACAATCCAATAAAAATTTACATAATTTTATTGATAATTATAAATTTATAATGATTTTCTATTTAATTACTCAAGAAAGTTTACACTCGCATAAAATCTAAGTAATTATCACTAATGATTGTTTCCAATTGGTTAATAAAAATCAGTACTAGTTGGTCAAATGAAATATTGCCAAAATTCTATAATCGTTTTTACGGGAAAGTACCGGAAATGACATATTTTTAAATAGCTCAATTAATATTTTTATTTATAGGAAGTTACCTAGACTAAATCGATAAAAGATTTCTATAAATTGAAAAAATAATAACATGATTTTTAACAGCGATAAAATGCAGACGGGGTTGTAGTGCTCGTGACATAAATAAGAGATTATTGATAAATTATATATTGTAGTATATTTATCGCACTCTATATTATTGTTCAACATTAAACAGTATGTTTATCAGTGTTCTTACTAAAATATATTAAAATATTTTCTTTACGTCTGGCTCGTGTAATAATGTATTGATTACATAAACTTTTTCTTGTTGTAATGAATTAAAAATAAAAATATAATTTGTCAATAGATAATTTATATTTATACGCATATTTCACAACTTTTTAAAGTTAAGCTTTTAAAAAAATTCAGATATTTTTTCATGGTACAACTTAAACCTCACGTAAAAAGTACTGTTTTAAAAAATTGAAAATATTTTTGCCAACAAGTGATAAATTTATTATTATGACAATTTCTACATGAAAAGGTTTATAAAAAATTATGAAAAACTGTATTATGGTTATAATTTGCATATGAAAGAACTGCAAATACTATTTGTCATTAATAAAACATTTTTTTTTAATTTTCGTATAACAAAGTTATGTTGACCTAACAATTTTTAACTTCCTAAAAAATTATAACTTCGGGGTTTCAATTTATCGAATATATGGCCTCGATCAACATTGTGTCAAAAATTTTCAAAAAAGTTGTTTCAGTAACACATATGCATTGGTATAGTAATAATATTTACTATACTCAATAGTTATACTAACATAATCTATACATGTAATTGAAAGATACAATAAGTCATTGAGCAATTTCCTGAATTTTCCAATCGATGAATTCAACTAAAATTTTTAGTAATATATTATTGAAAATTTTAATTACGTCAAAATAGAAGAAAATAGTAGTAATAAATAAAATAGTAGATCAGCTGCTCAATGCAAAAATGTTTTCTTTTATAAAGATGAAATTTTTTTTATGGGTTAGCCAAAATCATCTAAATGTTTTTCTAATTTCCGGTGATTATCATTTTGGTAGCTTTATAAAACTGTTTTACAAAAACACATTAGAATAAATATTTATTTAGGTAGGCCTTTGATAAGCTTTTGCTTTAATTTTCTTTACTAATGGCGATGGAATGATGTTGTTATGGATGGAGATGAAAACATTTTTTGATAATAAATTTTGTGGGTTCTGTAATCTCAGAGTTTTTTTATTTGTGTTAACTTAATCGGGACATTATTGTATCCTAATGTATACATAAATAACAATTTTCATATTGAGTTTTAAAATATATAACATGCAAATTATACAAAAATGTCAAATATAGTATGTCGATAAGAGGAATCTATGTCCCTAATCCCGTACAATTTAATCATCACTATTTACATAATCGTCTATAAAGAAGTATTCGAAGGGAATAAGTTTACTAGAGTTACAAGAGCAATTTTTTATTTTAAAATAATAAAATTTTACCAATTAAAAACCCTAAAATACAATTTTAATTAAAAAAATATACAGACCTCGGTATATATAAACATTTATTGCGGTTTTTCGATTTTCGCTTATCTTATGAACAAAGCATTAATAATTTCACATAAGTATTCATATTTGCTAAAAAAATTTAACCATTACTATTTGCAGATAGTAATTACACATGTGTAACTAATCAAAGTTATTTATTTTAGTAAAGATTATTTGCATTTAGATATAACGCAAATCACTGATGATCATTAGTTTAGGATTATAACTAAATTTCGTTTTATAGGGTAGATTTGTACACGTTTTCATAAAAAAATTGTAATCTTCCATCTGTACATCGTCTTCTTCGTAATATACTCACATAAGTAAAAATGTTGTGTTTTCCATTATTTTTTCAAATTCTATAAATTTGAACTTGTAATTAATTTTTTTTTTTTTGTAAATTTTTTATTTCATATGGTAATGGAACAATATAAAAACTAAGTAATTAACATTTTTATAAAAATGGGGTTTCCTCCTGCTGCAAAAAGGTCATAAATTTGATTTACGCGGTATTTCTATATGTTTTTTTACTTCTAATCAAAGCGCAATGAAGAACATTGTTAATGTTTTTGGTGAAAAGTGGATTTTAAAACACTTGATTGCGATATCATCATGCCAACCTGGTCATAAGTTGTTCAGCGAGTCGCACTCGTCATTGAATGCTTTCATTTTTTTGAACCTTAAATTACTAAGTGAAATTATCCTGTCGGAATACTATTATTTTGATAATTAATTTTAAATTAAAATCAAGTCGCAAAGTATATGTACAAAGGCCAGTCGGCAGTTTTACCGATAAGCTTTGAAAGAGTAGGCTGTGCTGCGGCGTTTTTATTGACACGGAGCAAAAAACACACCCAATTACTGGGCCGGCCCAATCCTTTCGTCGTGCGTACGATAGATTGCATTATATTGTACACTGGGAGTAAAAAGGAATGAAAAAAATAGGTAGCGACGGCGGTAGAAGGGAAAAAAACTAAAAGAGTTCCGTAGAAAAGCGCACGGCGGTGGGCGTGTATTGTTGGAGGTGGTGGCGGCGGCTAGTTCCGTTGGTGGGGATACGCCGGTCCGTTGGGGTAGGTTAGCTGAGCGACCGCAGCAGATGAACCTGCAATAACCGCCGACGTTAACACACCGGTTCTTGCGCTTCTCGTGGTCGCTTGTAGTGTATCCGTAACACCTCCGATGATCACGTGCTCCTCTCTGTGTGCATGATAATTTGCTATTACATACATATTTTTTATCTATCTTGTCATTAAGTTATACATTTTCGCGTGTTTACAAATACGTATTGTCAAACTCTCGGATATTGATAACGACAATAGTTTTTTTTTCTAAATCAATTTAGTTTTTGTTTTAAAATGTTAATGACATCAAACTGTTTTGCGGCTTACGCGGCTGTGAAAATTTGAAAAAGAGTTTTTCGACATTCAGTGGATGCATAATTGTTGATTTTTTAGCAGTTGAAAAGTATTTATCCAAGGTTAGTTTGATTAATTACTATATCAGTTACAAGTATAAACTTTTTTAATGGCTTAAAATTTTTTTAATATAGAAATAAGTTTTTATTAACGGTACTTAGAGGATGCTACTAATTTTGAATTTTACCCTTATACTTGATAATAAATATTTAATTGTGATTAAAATGTGAAAAAAAAAAATCGCTATAATATATTTATATATTAATATGATAATAATACATTTAAATGTTTATTGTTCATATTAGTTTTTGCAAATGTTATTTTCTATTTTGTAATGTTAATAATTTCTGATCAAAATTTCCCTTGGTCTGAATGAGAACCGGCGTTGATCAATTGGCTACTTTTTCCGATATAGTTAAATTTAGAGTTAAAAAAAAAAATTTCAATAACGCTAAATCATTTCATTGTGTTATTAAACGGTACTTTTTTTATTTCTTTACCGGTTTGTTCATTATCTATTGTAGCCTTTAGAAAGTAAAGTCGATAACATTAATAATAGTATTATTTAATGATTAAACGTTGGCTATCGCGTTTTATTGCATTTTTGTCTGGGATAAAAAAATTTCGTTGTCTACTGTCTTTTTTGCTGGTGTATTTTTAGCTTACATTTTATATGCGTTAAATTGAACGTGGTTTTAGTTACGAGACAAGAGAATATCAGTGATAGGGAAACGCTCATTTTTTGAGCCCACATATAATTGTAAACATTGTAGATTATTAGTCACCCCTTAAAAGTGTGTAGATGATGCGGGGGCAGGATGACAATACCACGATTTACTAGTAGGAATGATTAGGGGTGTATTCAACCGATACCAACTGTTAAAGTCTCTTTTTAACAAGTCATAAACAAGTCGTATTTTATGTTACTATAATTAAAAGTACAGGTACTAGTTAAAAAATTATTTTAATAGCCGTAAACTTACTATCCATGTGTAATATTTTAATACAAATATTTTGTATGTAGTGTACATTAGTAATATACGGTGAAGTGAGCTAGTTATAAATTCATTTTTTCAAATAAATGGCCGATATTTTATTTTGTGCTTTTATTCAATATGATAGCAACACATATAAGAATGAGAATTTTTCATTCTTACCCAATTTGTTTTTATTTACCCCACTTCATCCTAATATTTATAACTTAAATTATATCCATTCTTACAAAATTTAAGACTGTACATTTCCTCCCTTCTATTAAAAGTTTAGTAATGTCTGTGTAATACGAACAAAAATATTATGTTTAAATTTACTTTAGAAAAGTTATTATAAACTACTTACAGGAAACCTCCTTTCAAGGAATACGCTGCGGACCAAACATTTTTCCGTTAAGATGAGGTTTCCGTCCATTTTAGTGTAATTTCAACGTATAAAACACACAATATAATAGCATTTTTCCGTTTAATAGATGGCTCTTTGAAAGAAGGTTTCACTGTATTATGGTTTTTTGTTATAAAAAAGTGTTTTTTCGACAAGTATAAATCGATTTTATTTTTTCTTTGCAATTTTCTTTTAGTAATCATTGGAAGATAGTAATTGGTATTTATATAAATGAAATCGTGTTTTTTGTCCATCAAAAATTCATTTTTTTTAATATTTGATATATTTTATTTAATCTTAATAGTGATTTTGTGAGAACTCTGGTTTTTCTTTCTAAAATAGATGTCGTTAATTTGATCAATTTTCGAAGAAAACCCTCTTTGTCTATTTTCTCTATTAATTTTTTCTCATTCTTTTTCCACCCCAAATGAAAACCATTTTCTTCAAAACCGCACACAATTCCGAGAAAAGAAAAATAAAATGGGCTGCAGCGCAGGCTGGAAAAGTGAAGGGGTGAAAAAAAAGGAAGGAAAAAAGTATATATACGGCGACTGCGGTAGAGGTTCTTTCCATCCCAATCACTCCCTTCTCTTATTCATTAGAAAAAGGGCCCGTGCTTGAAGAGGCATTTATTTTATGGCTTTTTGTTTTGTCCAGGGAACGGGTCGGCCATTTTTCCTACTTTTCCGCTACTCGTCGTCCGCCCATTGCTTTTGCCGCTTGTTCCGACGCGGCGGTGAAAACAAAAATGAAAAACTCGACCCTCGCGGCAAAAACGATTTTTTACCCGCTCGCTCGGCCTTCTTTCACACTGCGCCCCCCGGTCCAATCAATACCGGCAATCATCGCTCCTCTTTTATTCCATGTGCGGCGTCGGTGGCGACGAACCTCGACGACATGCGCCTTAACACCCACCCGGGCTTTTTTCTATTTTTTCTCCCTTACCCTCGTGCGCTTTAAAAATCAATCCCACGTTATAATATATTTCATTTGGGCTCTACCAAGATGTAAAATAATTTACTGCAAAATTTAACCGAATTAGAAGTATATTGTTTTTTTATTTTAATTTTCGATTTTTTTTTTTCCGTTACAGAAACAAAAATGTTTTTGGAAAACGAACATCAACCGATTATGAGTCATTCACCGTACGAGTTGACTCGACCAGCTATGGATCACCATCACCACATCCATCATCACCAAACAGTAGCCGCCGATCAACAAGACGACTCGGAAGGCCGCAGCACGGCCAGTTCCCCGACGTCTAGTTATCGAGACCTATCGGGTTGCGAGGATTTCGACCTAAAAATTCCCAAACCTACCGGTGGACCCGGTTCAACTGGTAATAACAATAAAGAACAAAAACCAAAAAAACACAAATGCAAACACTGCGGTTTGGAGTGCACGGAAAAAGTTCAATACTGGAAACATATTCGCACGCACATCAAACCCGAACAGCTGTTAGAATGTCCAAACTGTGAATTCGCCACGGACTTGAAACACCACTACGAGTACCATTTGCTTAATCACACCGGCGCCAAGCCTTTCACTTGTCCCGACTGCGACTACAAGTGCGTCAGTAAGTCAATGCTCCAATCACATCTCAAGTCTCACTCCAACGTGTTCCAGTTCCAGTGTTATGACTGTGGATATGCTTCAAAGTATATGCACAGTCTGAAACAACATTTGAAAAAACGCGATCATCGGCCGGCTACGCCGCTCAACCCGGACGGCACACCGAACCCAGATATCGTGATCGACGTTGTTGGTAACCGACGTGGTCCCCGACAAAACAAGAAGCACAACAGACACAACCCTTACCAACAGCACCAACCGACGGTAATCCACGCAGAAGACTCTCATCCGTCGCCGTATTCCATGCAACAGTTATTGCAGATTCCGACGACGGGTGCGCCCGTACAGTATCCCATTCCCGAGTCGTTCATGTATTCCATGATCACCAAACGCACCATGGAGATGGTGGATTACCATGCGGAGTACATGGCTATCAAGAATAACAACAACACCACTGCGGTAGACGATAAAATGGACGTTCAATGTCCGACCGAGCTGGCTAAAGTAGAAATGGCCCGTAGCAGCGGTGACAGGACGCCCGAACCGATTACCGACCTGCCTGTTCAAATGATGACCGCCTTAGACATGCAAGGTCCGTTGAACTTGAGCAAAGACTCCATGACGCCACGTGTGGCCGGCAGCAGTAGACGCAAAGGTATTGCTTGTAAGCTGGAGAGGCCGGAGCCACCCAAAGTCATTATGTCTGTCGAGTCCAAGTCTGAGGAACAACAGGAACCCATGTCGCCCGTAATGGAACGCGAGAAGAGCGAACCGATTGCCGACAAAGAAGACGGCACGCATGTGTGCCACCATTGCGACATAATTTTCAAAGAGAGTATCATGTATTCTATGCACATGGGATTCCACAGTTTCAGGGATCCTTTTGCGTGTAATTTATGCGGTGAGATAACGGCCGATAAGTTTTCGTTTTTCGCTCACATCGCTCGCGTGCCACACAGTTAGACTTTTTTAATTGTTTTATAGAGTACAAAATTAAAAATATGTAAAAAACAAAAAAAACACCTACAAATTACTCTTAAGACACATACATATTATTACTATAGTAGAATTTATTGTACAAATAAATTAAATACTCTCCCAAAGATCGCCTTAACCCGTTTAGTAATTTTACTAATATTATGTTTATATTTACTGTGTTGTTTAAATACCTCGGAGTTAAAAAATATTTATTATAAAATTAGTATTCACCTTAAGATTTATATCGACTCTGAAATGTTCAAAACCTTTTTTATGTTAATCGACATTTCAGAGTCGATGTTGAATCTTGTACGTAAAATTAATAATCAGCTTAAAGTGACGTGAAGTACAATTTTTTATATTATTTACGATTTATTTTCAGTTATTTTTTTTTTTTCTACTTGCAATATTTATTTTTGTTTATCTGTTAAAATAAAAAAATTACATTGAATAAATCCATAATTTGATTTTTGATCATTACTAAAATTTTATTTTACGTCATTTTTAGCTCTGTAAACGGGTTAGGATGTTTTATTGTTTTTGAAATCGTTTTTCTGTATACTATTAGTAAAATACAGTTTTTTTTAATTGTATGCACCTACTAAGAACAATGTTCTTAAGGACAATGTAATAACATTGTTTTAATTTAAAGGAAAGCCAAGCCTTCGTGTTCTAAATTCTCTATAAGACATTTTTATTTTCTAGTCTCTTTCCCTTTTATGTGTATATCATCTGTATACACTTTGGGGGGGTATAAAAAAAGTCTATCTCTTTTTTTTTTTTTGACTTTTTATTTAGGTTATATACGTATATATATTGTTTTATTTTAAGTATATCAATTGGTTTGTGTTCGTTGTGATATAACATTGTTGTATGTCAGAATATCGACCGTTACATTAATGAAAATGAAAAAAATTAATTAAGGAGAGGTATACTGTTTTCGCTCTATGCTGTTTTATTTTTTATATGAAGCGGGGGTGTAGTTTTTTGTTTCATTTATTTATCTTAATGTAAATGTTTGAAAATAATACAAGTAAAAAGTATTTATGTATTAATTGTTGGTGCTTGAATTGTATTGTAAATAAAAGTAATAAAAGTTAAATCATGATAATAACAACATCGCCTGGTTTTTAATGGAAGGTCTAGTCAATTTCACTACCCCTCGTCCCTCCATTATACTTTTGAAACTCTCGTGGTTATCTCGTGAATGATTTATTTTCACAAAACGACTAAAAATTATTCTTTTTTTTTTTACTAATAACTATTTGTTGCAAGTCAGGTACTTATTTTTAATTGCTAATATCATTTGAATAACACTAAATAATCCTATGATTATTAGTAAATTAATATTTAAATAATTGTAGTGATTCAAAAACGTCATGTTAATTTTTGTAATTTTTATCCCTCGCTCTTTTACTGTGATTATAAACGAGACTTAATGTGTTTAAATATCAATTCTGTAAATTCGAGTATTAAAAATAATTATAATATTTTTATTCTGTTTTAAGACTTATTGTATTGATCTTTTAATGTTTGTAAAAAGATGATATAGTAATGTATGTAGTAATAATATAACTGATCTCTGTACAGCATAAAGAAAAATGTTTACACTTCACTTGATCTATAATTTTTTCTGAAATATGTAATTTAAACTAAATTTTATGTATATCTATTATATATACTTGTATACATATATTATGTACCTATAAATACTGTGTAAATATTCTAAAAATAGGTGAACTTAATAACTGTTCAGTATACTTTTTTGTTTGTTTTAGATTTCTCTAATTTAGGAAAAATTCTTGTATTTATGTGCCAAAGTTTAACAAAATAATCATATTTATCAATAACATATGTTTTGAAAGGATAATAAACGATATTGTTTACCAATGATAATTCATTTTGTTTTTACTTGAGTATTTTGCGATACCTTATACCTGGTTGAAAAAGTGTAGTTTCTTATCCGGTTTGTACGAGTAAAAGGTGATATGGAGGCACAAAATAAATATATATTTTTTTTTTAATGTGTAGACTGGTGGATCTGACTAAATTTAAAAAATCTGACCTATCCACTCGTATTAAAAATATAAGGTAAAAATATTTTTTAACTATAACAACTATGCCTCTGTTTATTTAAAAGGTATTCAACTTGTCTACCTGCGGTCGCTCCAGTCACTTAAAGATTATACTCGAGAGTTCACCGTTCCGTTAATATATTATTTACTCCTATACAAGAAAAAATAATATAAATCGTGATTTTCGAGTTGAAGGATTTTAAAAGAGTAAATGGGCGTATCACGCTTGCATACACTTCATTCGATTGTTGTGTGAACAATAAAATGTCCCATAATTGTGTTGGCAAAAATAACAACATTTTTGGATATTAAAAATCGTTAAAATGGTTAAAACTTTGATATTTTGTAAAAAACGGAGAGTTTTATTTGCGTGAAAATAGTATAACACAAATCAAATTGAATATTAACGAATGTTATAATGATTAATGAGTATGTGAGACATTAAGGGTCTTCCGCGAATTCTTCAAAAATGTCATTAAAAACGTCAGGGTGTATAATTAAGTAGTAGGTACAGTTAAAAAGTAATAACTGCTACACTGAAATTGCAACACGGAGCAATTTTCCATTGAAAATATGCGTTGGCTATTTTATGTAATGCAGGGGATCTAATGAAGGATAAAATTAATGATTTAAGGGTCGATAACACATCGCACGTTTTTCTTTTGTAAATTTAATTGCGGTAGTCGATTATAGGCAAATATTAGAATTACGATTTGTTTGGTTAAATATCAAATCTCCACCGCTGGGCGTTGTTAGGTATGTATTTATTAATGGTAAAATAATAAAATATCAGTCGTACTTTGTCTCATTAGTAACTTACTACATTTATTGTATCGTTCGGCGCTCCGGGTAATAATTTATTTATCATTGTTATACTTTTGGAAAATTTAAGAAACGACATATTGGTGAGCATGTTTTTTTTTGACATAACACTCCATACTTTTTGGGAAAATCGGAACGCGATTGGCGACGGCAAACGAAATGGGGTGTGATTTTTTTCTCAAGGTAAAAAAATAGCGTTCATAAAAAACGTATCGATGTAACAAAATGGCGTCGCCGGTTCCGGTCGGTAAATGGGTTAAGCGAGGGGAGCAGCGAACTCGTTTTTTTTTTAATGTTAAAAAAACATTGAGCCGTTGAAAATGGCCGTGAGGCGGCCAATAATATTTTGTCTCGTGCTCGTGCGCCGTAAGAACATGTATAAAAAAAAAAGACAAAAAAAAATAAACACATACAAAATCCCCTTACCATTTTCCCCCTTCGTTTTGTTGCGGATGTGCGAGCTCGACAAAAAAAAAATATAATAAAAACCACTTGGCTTGGGGTGGTGAATGGAGCGCGTGCGCCCGTTTCAAAAGCGCGTGTGCCCCGTCTACGCACTTTGTTAACTCTGTGCCACGACCCTCGTCGTTTATAATACACAGAAAACGGTTTTTTTTTTACGCGTTTTCTTTCCGGAATTTGCCGTTGGGGTAGCCGTTTTTTTTTCACTGTGCACACGCGCGCATTTTTTTCTCCCTCGTTTTTTCGTGACACGAGTCTCGTTTCCCCCACGAGTATTTTTTGCCTCGGCATACATCGCTGTAGAGGTCATCGGGAGGTTCAGAAACGGCTTCCCCGCCATAATAGCGAACAATAATAATGTAAACGTGCCACTGATAAGCTTAAAAACTCTGAGAGTACACACACATGTTGTTTTTCGGTGAAAATGTGTCTTTTTAACCTTTCCAACACTCCGACTGCGGCTCGGCTCGGTCTGATTTATGTGATGCGCTCTTAGCCCCTCGGAAACCGGAGCTCCGAGTTCGCCCTTCCGTATAATTTTCTTCTAATTTTGGCGTCGACTCGGTTCATATAATATAATATATGCACGTCGCCTATGTATGTATAATATAATGTGTGAGCTAATTGCCACCATTTTTGGTTTTTTTCTGTTACACCTGCAGACTGACTGCAGTGAAAAATATCCTATTGAGTATTAAAATACGTTATTAATCTTGTTGTTTACATTTTAATCGAGTGTGATCTTAAATTCTATGTGTATAAAACACCTAGAGGTCAATTATTAACAAAAACAGCTAATTAATTTCATTCAACAGCTTATTTTGGGATTCATTTCTATGCTCACGTTTTTCTCGGTAAACTTTTTTTAATAAATCGTAAAATGGAAGTAGTTATGCCTATTTACGAGTAGAGAGAAGTACCAGAAACAGCCATTAAGTTAGAAGCAATTTACTTTCATTAACAACACAGTACAAACTTATTTAAACAATTTAACAACGTTGTCGTAAATTTCAATTTTGAAAGTATTTTTAAATGATTGTCAAAGTTAAACAAAATGTATTTACTAGTTCACACTCGTCCCCGTCGTATTTAAATACATATTACACACCAAAAAAACAGACTTTTACAGCTGATGTTATCAACAATTATTATTAACTTTTTCCTGATAGAAACTACCACTATGTAATGTATTAAGTATTTTCTGACATATTAACAGTACATGAGGGCAATTGTGTACCATAATTAAAATACANACAGACTTTTACAGCTGATGTTATCAACAATTATTATTAACTTTTTCCTGATAAAAACTACCACTATGTAATGTATTAAGTATTTTCTGACATATTAACAGTACATGAGGGCAATTGTGTACCATAATTAAAATACAATACAAGAACATGGTACTTAAATTTATTTTAGTACATTATAAGTAACAGTATCGTGATAAATTGATAGCTAAATTAAATAATTATTAAATTATGATCGTCTCACTGTAGTGGCGTTAAATTATCCTAACAATAAAAATTTATACATAAACACCGTTATGAAGTTATATGAGAGAAATGAGATCACAAATATAAATAATTATAAAATTTTATTGAATATCTCGTCATTTATTTTATATAATTAAGTTATAGTTCATTGTAATGAACCTTTTATAAAATAAATTCATCTTCAT